CGGAACCGGAACCGGAACTTAAATTGAGACCAGGGTAAACTGGGAAACACTGAAACCAGTTCCCTATACCCGTGTGGGAATAAAATTCAAGATGGCGTCCTCTGTTATCATTGTTTTGAGAAATTTTCAGCACAGTGATCGTGATACCAAAGGTATACTCACATTCGGAAAGTGACTTGCAAAAAAAAAGGTAAGTGCCTCCTACTGTTATTCCTAGCAGTCATAAACTGTGACTGCAGCTGTAGGTCGAGCAATTTTCGACAGATCGAGACTACAACTAATCAGAATCCGATTGACTGCGAAAAACAGCCATTATTAGTATGTGATGTTTAAGACCGCTGTGTTATTCATTTCCTTCTCTTGAGCCTAAGTTACTTATTTGTTAAAAGGGCTCCGTGTTTCATCCATTGTGAGGAAAAGGAGGCAAAGGGAGGAGGAGTACTCACGTCAATCATGATCCCAACTTGCAACGCTCACGCATTTTTCTCGAAGAAAAAATTTTGCGCCGTACGCAAAAAATGCGACAGTAAAAAATATAATAACAATAAATAAATATAATGTGGGGATGAAAAGTCTTGATCGAGCAATAATTGTAAGTGACACTCTAAAGACAGAAACGTCTCCAAGTTTTATTTCTTAGGTTCCGGTTCTGTTTCCGTTTCCGGATCCGGTTCCGGATTCCGGCTTTTCCATACGCCCGTTAAATAGCGTCAAGAGGACTGAACTACACAAGGTTGTTAATTTCACTTCCGTTCCAGCGTGCAGTTCCTTGTCCTCCTAAAAATAGCTTCGTATCCCACCGACCATTCCATGTCATATTTTTCGGACTTTTATTCAGTAATGACGGTACGATCACGTAATTTGACTTGATGAGTTCTTTAATTTCATTTCATGTACTACTTTTATATCATACGCTGGAAAGATCTGCCAAATGTACATAGAAGCAAAGGTAGGTTCCTGTTCTATGTACATTTGGCAGATCTTTCCAGCGTAAGATATAAAAGTAGTACATGAAATGTCAACAACAACAGTCCTATTCAGGACTACGCTCACCTGGAAGATCAAACTCAACCTACTTTTGAAATGACTCCTGCGTTCAAACCTTTCACAGTTTTACTGTGAGTAACGAAATTTATAATTTTCATTTTAGCGCATATTTCAAGCTTTTCGCAAGATCAGAAGCAAAACATCACCTTTTTACATTACAAGTGAGGCTCATTTAAGCGATAGATAGGCTTTAAGAGGCACGATCAATTTTTTAGAATTTTGTTTTTCGAGGCCTCGTCAAAACTGTCATTCCTGTATCTTTGAAACCAAAGAGAATATGCATTCAGTATTTAGGACACCATTCCAATACTACATACCAAAAATCAGCCAAATCGATGAGGTACCGTGTTAGGCCGAAGTTCGAATTTTACAGAAAATCACTCTTAAATGATAAACTAGTGTCTGGCAAACTCTCCACGTGTTTACTTTGTCAGCGCTTACTAAAAACGAGCGTCTTTCAGTTCATATCTTTCAAAACAGCTGCTTCACAGAATGGCACTAAACACACTTAACGCAAAAAAGTCTTAAAGTATGTGTGTACAATAAGAGGCGATTTTGTTACCTCTGCGTGTTGCGTCCCTGACGCATAAAAATCCTAAAAGACGCAAAAAAGCTGGGGCATACACCGTATTCACAAATGGCGGACACGCGGCAAAAAACTGGTGCCTAGTCATGAAAGCGAGGCGTTGAAGGATAAACAAAAATTGCAAATGAACACTTTCAGTGAACTTGCAGAGTGTTTAGCACGGATTCCACCTAAAATAACTTTGTACGGACTTCTTTTTAAATACAATTACGTGGGATGTCTTCTGCTTTTAATGTTTAGTAGCGATTTGCTGTTTGCAATCAAAAGGGACGCGTATATCTTCAAGGAAACAGGATGATTTTTGTAGGTTTCCGAAGCATCAGAAGCTCTAAGAGTAGGCGATGGCAGGAGAAAAGAGGCAAACATGTTGGCCCAAACCTTACACTGAAACCGAATATGAAAGCCAGATCACTACAATTCTGTATTGGATCAAATTAATTCCGTCGCTTTGAGGTGAATTGTTAGAGGTACACTGGCAGAGCTTAGCAAAAATCTCATGATTTCTTTGTCATTGCGAAATAATTAAAAATAATTTGATCAAAATTAGAAGCTGTAGTGTGTGAATCTTATGGCTTGCTATTTGCCTGGTCTCTTTTAGGGCATTATCTCAGAGAGCTCTTGGTAAAAAAAAAGTGGTATAAAGCTTACATTTTACTAGGTTAAAATTTTTAAGGCAATGTTTTTGTCAGGACTGCACACGGCAAGCTTCGGTTTCGAATAATTGAATTCGAGTCTGGATCAGTTTAAGAAGACCATCATTTTATTTATTTATGTATTCTTCAACTTTAAAATATTATGGAACATAAAGTTAAAACTCTTAACAGCCAAAGGTAAGAAATACGAAATTACTCACTGAAATGATATGTGGCCGGCTTAAATTTTTCATATTTTACAACCCAGCTTACACTATTTTTCTAAGAAAAAGGAAACCTACATTTTCGGATTCTAAAATGTGATGGAGAGAGGAATTAGAAAAATTCCCACTTTCGTAAAACGTTAAATTGCACCTAAAATTTTCGGAAAAATAATACTGAAGCCCTTGTAATTTCGAAAAGACTTAAGTTCCCCTAGGATGACGGAACAGATAAAATTTTTTTAGCGCCCCTTACAATGCATTTCTAGAGATCCAAAAGTACTCTGGATAGCCTAAAAAGTGTTTTCAACGTATTTTGGAGGAAACCGTCTTTAGGTGCCGAAATAATTCAATGGATTCGTCCCGTATGATGCAAAGATCGGTCGATCTGAGGATTTTTTTGTAGAAAATCCTGTTCGTGTGAGTTTTGTGGCTGTTAATGTGGCTGTTGTTTAACGAAGTATATTTGTTTTAGTCCCCCCATTTTTATTCTCGCTTGCGTAGCAGCGAGACCCATAATCGACACGCCGTTTATACACAAACACAAACGGGAGTCATGGTCCCAGGCGTTCCTAGCGGAGACCGTGGAAACTGGGAGTAAAAAAACCGTTGTGTGATCGACGCCACGCATGTTTGCGAAGAAGGCTTAGGAAAGATTAAAGCGATTTAGAGCTTTTCCGGAACAGATAGCTCTACGAATTCTATCACTTGAAAGCCTTGATTACTTTGGAAGAAGTGAACACTTCAGTGGTAGAAAAGGAAGAAGAATCTTAATTAGCAAAACTTCGATGGCGAGGCTCACTGCATTGTATGCAAATCTTGTGATGAGCATGCAGTCTATTTTCGGCCATGTCTGAACTAATGCGCCACGTTCACACGTTTTTGATCTTTGCCAATAATGTAATTTCTCTCGAATTGAGGCCCATGAATTTTCGTGTATTTATACACGCTTAAAGCCTGCGACCGAAGACGTATATCCGTCGTCGCTAACACGCGTACTAAAGCCTTTATGAGCTTTGGCTTACAAAGGCTTAGTCCGCCCCCAGGTCGAGTACTGCTCAAGTTGTAGGGACCCCCGCCCAAGCGTTGAGAATAACGGTTGATATAAGATCGAAAGGATAAAGCGCCGCGCGGCTCAGTGGCGCCTGCGCCGATACAACAACACATCTAGCGCCACCAGCATGCTTGAGGACCTAGAATGGCGTACCCTAGAGCAACGTCAGATTGACATTCGCATCACAGCCCTCTTTAAGGTCACACGGGGGCTCCTCTCTGTTAACTCTCACGGGCTTTTGCGCCCTGTCACGCGCAGGACACATCACTCGCACTCAGAAAGTTTCATCCCGCTTCAAACTAGCCTGTCCTATCTATCCTTTTTTCTCAAGAACATTTATTCATAAATTGTCTGCAACTGTGTTTAGCGAACACTGCTCTTAAGATACTTTGAAAGCCCATCTAAGCTGCCTAAATCATCTACCTGTTTATTAGCCAATTAAGTTAACTTATGTTGACCAACCCAGCCAATAATCAAATGTGAGGGGTAGTCTCTACACGGTAAATGGTAAATGTAAATCATCTCAGAAACAAATGGTCGAATACGATATTAAAAGTACCTATCCAGAAGAATACTCGACCGTCAATAAATACGCAACTGTCTTAGAGGGGTGCTAACAAGTCGAAATGTTCTTGAACATCTGCCTTGATCGACAACACAATTTACGTACTGTAGGCTTCTATTTAAAATCCCTAATAACAACAACGATTATAACTGAATCTTTGTGTAAGTCTTACCTTGTTTCCTTTATTCTTGTAATTCTTTATTACCGCAATGGGTGCATTGTTAAGAAACTGTACACTTAAATCTGTGCCACAAATTTCACTTAGAGACTTCGAGGCAACCTGGAAAGAAAATGACATTTATTGTATTAATAAAACTAAGTTCACTACTTTTAAATATGTCAGGCTGATCGCATACAAAAGCTAGCACAAAAAAAGGGCTTTTTCTTATTTTAAAACTCGTCAGTGAAAACTATTTGCTAGACTGTGCGGCACTTAATCGAAAGGGAGGGGGGAAATCGGCCTACTACTCTCGTCAGTCCTTCTTCTGTGTTGTATCATGCGTTAATTCCCCATTTCTTCCTCCCTTTCAAATGCCTATCATTCTGATACCATGTAGGCTTTGAGCAGATAACGAATGGGTACCGGATTTGCCATGATTTTCAACTAGTACGGTAGAACAGGAGCAAATATTAACAATTCAGCAAACCTGTTGAAGTGTTTCATTTGTGTTTGTAACTTCTGCATGTAGTGCCTCCCAGGTTTCTGAGTCTTTCTGTTTTTTCACGAAAAGGATAAGTGTTTCTCCAAGTTTGCGTTGTAATGATCTAAGATCATTTACTTTATCTGATTCAGTGCACCTGTCTGCAGGAACGAACTTCTTTCCTTCTTCTTCTTGTTCTTCCTCAAATTCCTGATAAATTAAAAAAAAAAATACACCGTCTGTGCACCTGTGCAGGGGAGATTTTTGCTAGCGGAGAAGGAGGCTATATGTATGTAGGTAAAGTTATTGTAAAAGCAGAATTTCAAGTGCCTTATTGCTTACTAAAGTATAGATTTTTGTTCGAAAAAAAAATTCTGACAGAATTTTACAAGAATACAGAAAAAAATCATCGGTACCAAGTCCTTCTCCTCATCATGTAGGGCTCGAAATTACAGTCGAACCTCTACGTGCGACCACCTCTCGTAAGCGACCACCTCCCATAATCGACCGCCAATCCAAAACAACAAAATTTTCCCAGTCAAAGCCTTACAGTTCGAACCTCTAGTAAACGAACACCTCCTGCAAGCGACCGCGACTACTTTTTGGGCCTGACGGGTAATGATTTTCGATTGTTTTTTATCTCTAGTAAACGACCACTTGACGCATTCTCTGATCTCTATGTTCGCTGTGTGCACTATGTTACTTAGAATATATGAAAAACTTAAGTGACAAAATGGAACTACAGATGTCGTAACTTAGATATTACATGCAATAAATAATCTTCCATATAGTAGATGTGTCTGGACCTCTTCTTGGAAGAGGCCCCCTGTGGTTCGATTCTTGTAAACGACCACCACCTCCCGTAAGCGACCACCTAGTCTTTGCATTTTGGGTGGTCGCTTACGGGAGGTTCGACTGTACACGTTTTCATTCAGGCACCTGCTGGCAACCGCAGAAAACTAACATGTTATCATGTATGACAAAATCATCTTCAAGAGGGCTCACTTTGTTGAAAGTTCAAGGTTAGACAAACAAAGAAAGTCGTCGTAAAAACCTGGAATAGTTTACCTCAAAAAAAGCGTCATGTGTCTCAAAATAACTTTTAAAACAGTATTCAGGATATTTTACCAAAAAAGCTATCAGATGAAAATGATCACAGGTGTATATTGATTTGCTCAACTCGACTACCTTTAATTGCTACCTGCAAGCAGTGTTTGTTCATCTTTTATAACGCATCTTTACACTGAATCTTTACAGCCTGAGATCTACAAGATCAGTATCAGTAAATCATTCCAGTTCGGGTCCACGGTTCCTAAACTTAAGTTTTTCTAAGAAGTCCAGCGTGACTTAACGAGTTGTATAGAAAGCCTTGGATAGGTTAATAAACAGAAAGCCTGAGTGTTTAATTTCTGTTTCAGGCTTGTTTTCTGTCGCCATCATTTAAGTATATAACTGCTAATTCTGTAGAGTGGTTACAAGGAAAGTCAGAGTAGGCCATTCTGTTCCAGATGAGACATAAATAGCCTATAATATATGCCATATTCCCGAGTATTTTAGAAGAGGAACTGGTGTGGAGTGCGTTCCTTTCTTGGAAGCGTTCACTGGCCAGCCAGTCCTTTACTGTCGTGGAAACCATTAGCGTTGAAAAGGTCAAAGTATTTGTTGTGGGCGTTTCATTGTTAGATTTGCTAGGTGTTTTTCTCTTACAGCAGCCATCTTTATCCCCAAAAGAGTGTTAGATTATCAGCGTGACAAGAATAGCGCTTTCCAAGATGCAAACCAAAGAAAAAGTGAAATCTATCCATAGTGGGGGGCATCCAATTATTCTTAGACGCGCCATCGGGATGTAATCAACCCGAAGGAAAAAGTAGTAGGGCTATATCTCTACTAGGCTTCTCCCCCGCCGCCTTCTCTAAATAGACTTTCGGGGAATGTAACCACTTTGTGGGCTTTTACCGCACTGGTTTAACTTTATATGGCTGAGCAACTGATAAACAAGTTGGTCAAAAAACTCTTAAGCCCGTGCGAACGGACGCAACATCGATGGCCAACAACTCCCAATATTGTTCGATGTTACATGTTGCGTCCGCTTGCACACCCTGCTGCATGTTGTTGTGAGTTGTTGCGCAAAGTTTGAAACCGGTCAAACTTTTAGTTACGTGCAAACGGACGTAACAACTCTCAACATTACTGCCTAACAATGTTGAGAATTGTTGCGTCCGTTTGCACGTAGCTTTAGAGCTTGTTGAAACTGATATAAGTTCTCCATCTACGGGTTTGAAAATGCAGCAAATCACACATCGCTTCGCCTGACATTCTTTTCACGACATCGGAAAAATTACAAACTTTCTATCCAGATCTGTTAAGGAACTTCTTAATCATGAATTTGTTTCTTCAAAACTCAATTACTGCAACAGCATTCTTCACGGCCTACCCTCCTACGACATAACTGTTGCAAAATACAGTCGCAACGCAAAATAATTGAGCAAAAACGTCTGCTCCCATCACTCCATTTTAAAAAGTTTACACTGGCTCCCGTGAGAGAAAGAATTATTTTTAGAATTCTCCTGGTCACATACAAGATCCTCCATGATGTTGCTCCAGCCTAGTTAAATGAGCTGCCTCATCGTTTACAAGAGACATGAGACATCAGTTTATTTTACTACTGTAGACAGACAACTAAAAGAATTTACAAGAAATATAACTATAAATATAACAATACAAACAGTCGTGGGACACCCAAAATAACTAAAAAGCTAACTCATTGGGTGAAATAAGAGCGGCGCCTCCGCGCGCGCGAGCGTAGTCCCATAACTAGGAAAATTTGGTGAACTATCCATCCGAGAAAATTTGGTTATGACGTCACCGTACGTCCGTACGTCTCCAGGTAGGGGTAAGTAGAAACGAATTCCTCCCCTTTCCTCTTGTTCCCTATTGTTTCAAAAGGCTTTGGAAATGATTGAAAAATCGGAATCTGTCAACTGAGCAAATGTTTGGTGGATTTTAGGGGCCGACCATTTGACTTTTGAGGGGGTTATGGGTGATTTCAGGAAAAAAATATCCTGCAGACTGATTTCGAGGAGAAAAAAGCTTGCAAGGAAATACCTGGGAAAAATAATATTCTGCACTGAAAAAAAAATATCGCTCATGACGTATAATGCTGAAAAAGAAATCTTACACCGTTATATGTCGGGGAAAAAAATTCTTACCGAACTAAATCACCCATACCCCCTCCCCCACAAAAGTCTTATGGTCAACCACTTAGGAGGTGGGAGAAGAAACGGATTAGACACCTCAGTATATGTCATCCATCAACAAATGGCCGGCGCGCGTTCATCATGTGGTGGTTTTCAAGACCAAAGTTTTGCATTTCAAGATTGAAAATACGCCGATAAAATACACAAATCGAAAGAGCAAGCTCAAAAGAATGCCCTGTTTCCTTTTTGCGGACAAACGATAAGTTTTCGCTATGGAATTGTCTTTCGAGGAATTCTTCGCATTCTTCACGGCGGATTGGAGCGCTTGGCTTGTTTTGAACTAAGGCAGTGAGGTTTCTGAAGGAACTTGAGGTACATTCTGTACTCTATGGTCAAGAAAAGTACGTTTTTAAAAGGGAATTTTTGTATCTATAAAGGCTTCATGGACGTTTTCTACATTTTGACATCGGCGTGAAAGAAAAACTACAAAATGTGCATTTGAAATTGATTTTTTGCCATGTGCTCAGCTTATTTGACTTGCGAGAACGGATCCACGATCTAGTTAGCGTTAGACGAATTGCTTTTTAGGATTAAGTTATGGGTTTTTAAATAACAAGTTTCAAGAAATTAAGTTATTTATCTGCCATTGTTCATTCATAACATTAGCTCAAAACACGATCGTGAGACTACAGATCGTGAGATTTTTAGAAACACTTCAGACGGGCTACTCACCTTTCTTGAATTAAAACTGAAGTGTTGTATTCGTAAATGTTCCATTAAACTGCTATTCATTTTGTTATTCATTAGTTGCCATTTCAGAATTTTTCAGTGTGCTTTTTCCATAACTCGTGCTCTGAATACAGCTGAATACCGTTAGAATGAAGTTTATTGCGTTTCTTTTCAGTTATTTGTTTACGGCTTTATATTATCGCTGAAAAAGTGAGCTTATCTAAAATATGAAAGAGTTACCCTCTATTCTAACGACAGACTCGTCGGTTTTTCTTTTTTTAAAAATGGCCCTATTTCTGATTTTAATGAGCGGAAAGAAGCTAATGGCCATATTTCCAATCAATCAGATAGCGAAACAAGGAATTTAGTTATTAATGAGTGTGTTTATAAAATTCACCCCATCTTTAATATGTATGCAGCTTTCAAAGATGGTCAGATAATTCATAATATTAAACAAGTTCAGAATGCTGGAAATACAAATCATAACGGCTATATGGCTTTTACAATAAGAAAATATGGGGATAAAAATTCTAAAACATATCGTGTTCATCGCTTTGTTTGGGAATGCTTGAACGGTGTTATACCTGATGGTAAAGTTATTGCGCATATCAATGAGGACAGGGAAGATAATCGTTTATACAATTTGCAGATTGTAACTCAAAGAGCAAACTGCAAGAAATCAGCCAGAAAACGTGATTATACATTTGCAGCTAATAATTTCCAAAATAGGAGGTGTGTGAAAGCAATGAATAAGACTACACAAGGAGTGGTCTTCTTTAATAGCATGTATGCCGTACAGCAGCGTCTTAGCATCAATACTGGTATTGTTAAGATGGTCTGTGAAGGGATCAATAATTGTAAAACTGGCATTTCTAAAAAAGGTGCTCATCAATATAAATTTGAGTATATACAGAAGGAAGATATGCCTGATGACTATAAAAAATCAGCCAATACGCGCCCAAGAAGCGTGGCTGATGAGGATAATATATAGATTTAGCCACGGTTAAAAGCGAGGCTCCCATTAATAAATTTATAATTTAAATCAAACAATAAACTTGTATTCCACAATTCAGTTAACGCTAGAGCACATTCATTTGACTTTTTAGGGAAAGGCTAAGTGATTTTAGAGAAAAATAATTGCAAACTGCCCAAGATAGCTCACGATAGCCTCATATGTACACCTCCAAAATAGCAATAATTTTCGATCACATTTAAGAGCCATAATGGCTCTTGATCACCGTACGTTAATTAGGCCAGGAAAAAAAACAGGCCGAATTTTGGGTGCGTGTAAACCAGCCTTTTATACCATTTAAACATCACGTCTGAGGTAAACCAGTACTATGAGGGACTGTTTTTATCACACAGACCTCGGGCAGAATGCAGTATTTCACAATTTTGCAATACAAAGTGCACTCATTCAATATTCAGCAGTGTTCAGGACGATCGATCGAAGCACGCGTGGGGTTTTAGCTAAACAGTTGAAAAAATTTCCAAAATCACCTAGTATATATGGCCAGCCGGTTCTCACTTTTGCAGAGCGAGCTGTGGTCGTGTTTGAATGAACATTAACAGAGTTACGCTTCAACATAATAAAGAATTTATTATGGTTATTTTTTATTTAATGGTTTTATCGATCTGTAATCTTCAAAAGCGTTTGATACGCGCGGCATTTTGAGTACCTCCCGCAAGCGATGTTCACTGAACGACTAAAATTACAAGAGAAACTACTAACAATTAATAAAAGAAATATAATTCGGTGAAACATATACAGAGCGGGGGAGACAACAATTTTCGTTCACTAAGACAAGTATTAAAGTGTCTCTAAAAATCCCGAGTCTTCAAGCTTAAAGCTTAAGTTTATGTTTTAAGCCGGCTTCCCGGTCTTTGCGTCTTTTCAAAGATGAACTCGAGGCAAGAAAATCGCTCAAAGCTTTCTTTTACAACTAAATATTATTTGGAACGTTTTCTTTCTATTTGCGGTGAGAAAATGTCTAAAGGATTTTAAAATTCTGTAAGATTATATCAAAACTGATAATCGGTCAGATCATTGTCTCAAATCTTACAACGTGCGTAAACTAAATTAGCCGCATAAACTACGCTCGACGTCATTAAATTAGATATAAAAAAACACACATCAAATACAATAATTACTCAGGCGTACCATTCGAGATGCAGCTCTGAAAGGTATCAAGTAAGGCCAGTATCGCTTCAGACTTTACAACCCTCTTACGCATCAAGCAAGGTGAAAAACGAAAACGATACCATCCGAAATCGGCTTTCCGACTTTGACAAGTGACGTATTTCTCAACCAAAAACCCAATAGAAACAAAACTAGCCATGAATAACAGAAGACTCCTGACAGCAGCTGAATTTCATTTTGTACATCCAGTGGAAAAAGACAGTCAAAAACATCACAAGCTGACACAAAACTCTGTCAGCTTCAGCTGTCAAAGTAAACAAGATTCAAGATGCTGCATAAATTTTCCGCATGAACTCACCTGTCAAATTTTGATCAATCACAGCATAAACACTGGACGAAGAGCGTGACCAAAGCGTGATTATGGTGAGCAAAGTCAAAAGCAACTGTCTTCTCTGCCTGTAAAAGCTGGCTGAATTTTCGCTTCCGAGGTCAGTTTGAAATCAAAATCTTAATTGTGAGGCAGAAATACACGACATATTTCATATGAATTTTAAAAAAATTAAATTTGAGCCTGCGATCATTTGAAAACTAGTGACTTGTCAGTGGATAACTTCAAAAAAATACTTCACACCTGAGCCCGCGATATGGTCAAGTGATACTGGTCAGCGGATACCCTGGTTTGACAGCTATCAATTGATCACAACATTGATGTCCAATATGTGTGCATTATCAATTTTCCTGTGCTCTCAAACTAGCAAGAAAGAAAGAAAGTACGAGATTGAACATTGATCGCGATGTAGTAAAACAACTGGTCAGCGGACAGCTTCCACATAAATCACGTCACCTCGATGAGTTGACACATGAACCCGCGATATGTTCATGTGATACTGGTCAGTGGCTATCCTGGTTTGACAGCTGTCAATTGACCATTTTGTGAATGTCCAATATACAAGATGTGGACTTGCCAAGACACCCCTCCCTCCCTTTTGATGGTCTTCCCTACCCCACCCTTACAATCTGTAGACGCGTACGTACGCACGCTCGGTCAATCACGTGACAACCAAACGAAAAGAGGTTGACCATATTCCATGAGTATGGGGCTCTGTCGCGAGCGTGGGAGCCCCGCTAAAAAGAGACACCAAATGGAAATTCTTAAAATATGGCAAAAAAGAAAATACATTTGCCCAAGGCAGGGTTGTCACTATGATTTCAAGTTGCCGGGTAAATACAACAAGTAGGCGGGGAATCAAACGGCTAGGGATTTCTTTTGGTTCTATTTTTGTTCTATTTTCCAATAAAAGTAGCCGGGGGCCACTCTCTTAGTAGCCGGGAAAAATCCCCGCCCCCGGCTCTTAATGACAACCCTGCCTTCAAGGTGTCATTAAACCATTACAAATGGAAGCAAATATTCTCATAATAAAATTTGTAAATAAAATCATATTTATCTTTTATGGAAACTTCTAATATACATTGGATATGTTTCCTTTGACCGGAACTGATTGGAGCAGTATCTGAATGGAATTCTGACTCCCCAAATGTGTTTATTTAGATAGGCGTTAATCTCATCATAATCATTGGATATTAGGATTCTATATCCATTTTGTTTGTATCGTTCGTTTCTTCATCTCCAGCTGAGCTTCACTAATTTTGTAATTATTTGTGGGGCTCTTGAATTCAATACACAGGCAGTTGTACTCCTTATGATTATTCATGATGATAATATCCGGCTGGCCTTTCATATAACCTTCAAGCATCAAGCTTCAAGCTTTGATGCAAAATTAATTCATAAAACCCTGGTTCTGATATAAAAATCCTATTTCTGACCTGACCCGTCTGGCAGGCGGGATAGCTTTTTTGGTATTTTTTAGAAATATTTTCTCTCAAAGCTTCGTCTGTATCAAAATATCCAAGAATTTTAGCAACATCTTTTCTCGTGAACCAGATATTCTGTTTGGTATCAATATATGAAGTCAACTCAATTTCCAATTCATTATTCTTGAATGTTTTTTCTATCATTGCCATTACTATAGTATATATAACAGGGGCGTACCTGCCTTTAAGCAAATAAGCACGGGTTTACAAGTGATTCGGACGGTATGATATATATTATTTAAAAAGAGATGTACTGGCAAAGAGCCGGTACATCTGCCATCTATATTTTCTTTAGTCTATCACCTCGCCAATTTAATTTAAGCGCCAGATTACATCTCACAGTACTTGAATTTTCAGAATTTTCCGGGAAGCTATGTCCCCGGAGCCCGCTAGCATGTCGCACCTTGGGCTCTCCTTATGGGCGCTAACGCGCCCACATTGTATTTCCCCTCAATATCCTCCACCAAAGCTTACAAACAAAAAATGCCTAGGAACGCCCCGGTATAATTTACTCTTAGATAGTTTTGGTTTCAACAGCCAGAACAATAAAATGTTTTTGGCTATCATGATAGCAAAAGGTAGATATTAATCTGAATACTCTCTTACTATAGTATATATAATTTACTCTTAAATAGTTTTGGTTTCAACAGCCAGAAACACATCATATTTTTAGCCATTATAGCAAAATGCAGATATAAATCTGAATACTCTTACTATATGTTAGATTATTCACCAATGTTATCAACCTTTGTATTCTTGATCACACTGAAATACTCTTTATAGTTGTCATTCATGATATCAGTACAAATTACATGAAGAAGATCAGCCAGAGTTATGTTATCATCCATTTCTTTCAACTTTTTCAAATGTATTCTCATTGGAGATCGTTTATGCCTCATTGTAGCAAAATCTGCCTCAGCTTCATGGAATTTACCATATAGCTCATCAAGTTCATCTTCTTTATTGCAAATATCTGAATACAGTTTTCAACACATTTCGGAATATAATTGTAAGAGAAGGTAACGCTTTATAGGGCGTTAATCGCTGGTTTCCAAGAATTCAAAGGATCTTAAGGTTCCACATCGATAAATATCAACCACACACAGAGAGATTTATTTCAGAACAGAAAAAAGCGAAAACTCTAAAGTTACATGATTGCAAACATCAAGTTTCACGTGACCCGATGTCACGTTGTAACGCTATACAAGTCCATAACACTCCCCCCTGTTGACCAGATTATTATTTGGCTACCTAATTCTATCTGGTCAACAACCCTTACATACTATTCAGACACCTAAACTCAACGATAATTCGTAGCAAAGTTCAAAGTTCATTAAGTCAGATCCTCCAGCCAGGTCTTCCTTCTTCGGTCGACCTCAAAGGCAGCTGCTCTTCTTGGGCAGCTCCGTGTAGACACTGGTTTGCTCAGTTCTCACTTCAGTGCTTACTGGATCAGGATTCCGGCTTGAGCTTGCTTCGGTTGTTTGTTAGACAGGAACTTCGTACTGGATCTCTAGAGGGTAAAGCCGCTGCACTGGGCGCCTGAGTTTCGTGCATTTTCCTCCTTTGCTTCGGACTTGGACCAAAGCTCCCCTGGTACAATCGTCAGATCCAACGATGAGATCTAAAATCTTGCCAACACGCCATTTTCCTCTGGGCTGGTCTTCTTCATGCACAGCAACTCCTTCTCCAACAGATAAAGTTCTGATAGTGCCATTCTAATTGAGGTAACGATGGGTATTTCGCAGCTCGATCAGGTACTCGTTTCTCCATCTTTTCGAAACATGGTTCAGAACGTTGCTCAGGTGCTGCATTCTTCTGCTTAGATCCTGTGGCTGAACATCAACGTCATAATCTGGAGTATCGCTGGTGTTGCTGTCTGGAAGGCTCATTAGGCGTCGCCCACATATGAGATGCGACGGGGTAAGGGGTTCTTCAGTATCCTTGCCTGACTCGTAGGACAGAAGCCTGCAGTTCAGTATCATTTCCCCTTCCACGACTACTGTATGCAATTCTTCATAGGTAAGGGTTGCACCGGCGATAGTCTTCTTCAGACATCTCTTAATAAATCTTACAAGTTTTCGAATATGCCACCCCACCAAGGGGCCTTTTCAAGGTTGAACGTCCACTTCATCCGTGCATTGGCAAAGTATTGTTTTACTCCCGGGTCATTTATCAGTTTCGTGATTTCTCGCGCTGCTGACTTGAAGGTTTTCCCGTTATCAGACACCATCAACAGTGGACTGCTGCAACGGGCAGAAACTCTTCTGAGACTCTCCACGAATGGGGAAGCTGAGAGGCTGGGTACGAGATCCAAATGAATAGCTCTGGTAACAAAACAAGTGTAGAGGCAGATCCATACTTTCTGCTGAGGGCCAGAATGATTTTTGACTTAGAGAGGTCCCGCAAAATCATCTCCAGTATAGGTAAATGGTGAGCATTCCTTTACTCTAAATTCTGGGAGGAGCGGGGGTGGTGGAGCTTGATATGGCCTTCCTTCAAGTTTCCGGTAAATCACACACTTGTACAATAGCTTTGTAACAAACTGTCTGCCCTGTACGATCCAAAATCTTCCTCTTAGTTCTGTCACAGTGGACTTCACACCACCATGCATAACTCGTTTATGGCTGTCAACGAAAATTAAGGATGTGATGTGGTGGTCTTTCTCCAACAAAATGGGGTGCTTGAGTGAAGTTGGTAACTCTGCCTTGGCTAAGCGTCCAGTGCATCTCATAATGCCTTGATGATCGGTGAAGATGCCAAACTGCTTCTTCCAAATATCGAACTTGGGATTCTCGCTTAAGGACTTCTGTATTTCCTTAATCCAAAGGGTTTCTGCATCGACAATATCTTCATCCGTCGACTCGTCTTGTGAAAGGGTGTCCCTTTTCAGCAATAACTTCATGATTCTCACAAACTTTAGAACTAGGACAGTAACTCTTATGAGTCTCTGCAGGTTGCTATAGTCTTCTGCTCTCACGATCTGTGCTATACCGCAGGGTTCAACTGCTGCCAGCATCACGGATGAGGCTTCTTTTAGGCACTTTGCTCTTTCCTCAGCTCTGATTTCTGCAAAACATTCTTCAGGTATATATGTGTGCTGTCAAACACGCTCTCACTGTTTTCCTTAAAACTAGATAACCACTTGGGGCCCTTCATCCACAAGGCACACTTTGAGATTTCTACAGGATTCAATCCTCTTGAGGGAATATCGGCTGGGTTATCCTTTCCGTTACACCGTCGCCAACTACTCACTGTTACAAGGCTCCTGATCTAATTGACTCGATTTTGGACAAATTGCTTCCACCCTTTTTCTTCGCCTTTGATCCAAAATAATGTTATTTTAGAATCAGTCCAGCAAGTTATATCTGTAATTGCCAATTCCAGTTGCAAGGCCTCGTTAACATGCTCAATCAGCCTAGCTATTACTAGAGCAGCAAGAAGCTCTAATCTTGGAATGGATAATTCTTTCGCAGGGCCAACTCTGGACGTGGATGCAACAAACTTGACATAGCTTCCTGTGGTGGTAGTCACGTGCAGGTAGATCACTGCTGCATAGGCCTTACTATATGTGTCAACAAATCCATGAAGGCTACAACTGACAACTCTCTCTTGCACTCCTTGGAAGTAGCATCTTAATAGCGAAAGTGCTGTTACACCTTCTAACCCATCCAACAGCTTGCGCCACATCTTCAACAATTCATCATTCAAGGGATCATCCCAACCAATTTTTATTCGGCAAAGTTCTTGGAAGAACAACTTAAACTCTATACCAACTGGTGAAAGAAATCCAAAAGGGTCATAAAACTTCGCGGCAACACAACCAACATTGCTATTGGTGGGTTTAAGGTCTCTTGCAAAGTTCGCTATCTCGGTCAAATCAAATATCAATGCATCCTTCATGGGGTTCCAGTGTTACTCCAAGGACCTTTGAGTCTCAGCTGTTTTTCTCTTCTATTGTGTCAAGCATCCTCTTGACGTAAGTTTTGTCTTCAGAAACAACATTCCTTTCTGGATAGGCTCGAGGGGACTGTACACACTTGGGCTTAGCAGTCTTACTGGATGTACCGGCATCAGAGTTTCTGGATTCATTACATTGAATTATGTTTGTTTGTTCAGGGCAATTTGATACAAACTTCCTGAGGTTGAATCCTCCTTCGGCAAGCCTGAGTTCGGACTTCAGATAAAGTTCATAGCCTGTATTAGTCTCAGGGGCTCCAGAACTTAGGTCATCCACATAAATCGAGCGAAGAAATTTCTCTACGAATTCAGGATCTGTTTCTTTGTACCTTTCGATGTGATGCTTGATTGTGGCATTTAACAGAAAAGGACTAGATGAGACTCCAAAGACAATACGAGTAAACCTTAGAACCACAATTTCTGGAGAAGGTTTGTCAATAGCACCCACCCATAGGAATCTTAACACGTCTCTATCTTCTTCTGCCATGCCCACCATCAGAAATGCCTTTTCGATATCACTGGTCAAAGCCACTTGGTTAACACGAAAAAGTACATCAAATAATGTTCTCAGCAAAGGGTGGTCCTGCATACAGACAATCGTTCAAGGTTACAACATCAGATTTTGCAGAAGCATAATAAACGACTCTAAGCTTGGTTGTTAACTTGTCCCTTCCTATGACTGCCTGATGCGATATGTAGTGGACCCTACCAACTTCTCCTTCGCTAGGCTTTTCTACAACTTCAACTATGCCTCTATGTAGCTGTTCCTTTATGACAGAGTCATATTCGCTAAGGACTTCAGGCTCGTGGCGAAGACGTTCAAGAAGGTTCTCTAGACGTTTCCTGCTAAACTGATAGTTGTCTGGAAGAAGCGGATGCGGCGTTTTCAAGGGAAGGTGGACTTCATACCTCTCATTCGTAAAGGATATCTTCTCTTGAAAATTTTCATACAGCATCCTTGATTTAATGCCAAGTGATTATAGTTCCCAGAATGTCTTTAGAGTTCCATCAAGGGTCTCATTTGTGACATCAACAGGTTTTACTACACTCTTCACTACATGTGTTGTGACAAGATTACTTTGCTGCCTATTAACTTGTGTTCCTTCTGGGATTGGACCTGACAAAACCCATCCAAGTTTTGTTTCAATTGCAGTGGGGCCATGCTCTCCTCGTACCACCAGATACAGATACTACACTCCAATACTGATCGGACCCAACGAGAATATCAGGGTCAACATTGTCTTCACGCGTATGGTAGTCAGCAAGTTTAAGTCCCTTTAAATGAGCGTAGGTGAGGCTAGCTTGTACAACAGATTGACTTTGAAGAGAATCGCATATAGTGGGAACGATAAAGGCTGACAGTTCTGCATCTTCTCCTTGCTCAGTAGCGACACAGAATCGGACAACATCCACACACTGACTATTCTCATTTGTCGAACCAAAGGTTTTGATGGATATTCTTTCAGTGTTCTCAGTAAGTAACCTTAAACGCTCTCTTAGCCTTGTGCTCACATAGGTTGGTTGGCTTCCACTATCTAGGATAAAACGAGCCTTCACTGTGACTGCTGAATTGCCAGGCTTGTATGTCAATGCTTTGGCTGTTTGAAGTAGGACTGGAGTAGCGGCGCTGACATACAGGGCTGTGAGGTTGTTTTAAGGTCTTTGGTTGTTTCTGGTTCTGTTCCTGTCTGGATGCAGCTCTAAAGGAATTTACGCCAGGTCTGGGGGTACCTTCATCATTGTTCCCGCGCTGATTCTGAGGCTGTTCTTGACTCGGTGTTCTTGCAACATTGGTACTATTGTGGGCACTACCTTCATTGCTGCCATCAGATGGGCAAATGCTGATATGATGTCGTCCCTTACACTTGAAACATTGATTCTTTGAAGGACAATTTCTGCTGAGATGATCTTTCCTGAGGCAAACAAAACATCTTCCTTGCTTAATGAGAAGATCCTTTCGAGCAGCACAATTTTGGTCACAATTTAGCAGGAGTTAGTAGGATGGCTCTGTTTACAATATGTACAAGTGGTTCCTGAATGTCCTGTAAATAAAGCAGACGTAGTTGAACGCGTCTGAGCCTTTGAGAATCCTTGAATTCCATCTGATATCTGACACTCATCATGAGGGACTGCACGCTTTCTGCCTTTTAACTCGTCCTCCAATGAATGCATAATATTATCTAGCTGCCAATCTTGATCCTTTATTTCTCTACTAATAATCAATCGTAGCTCTTGAGGCAGCTTGTTCATAATAATTGATGAGAGTAAACTTCCATAGGAGCTTAAAACGATTACTAGTGAATAATGGGTTCTTACATGAGACTCTAAAGTGTCATATAGTTCCCTTGGCTTTCTTGTGTCTTGATTAGTCATAGGGCTAACATTAAGAAGAATATCCATGTGGTGACTGATAATTTGTTGCTTGTTTCCGAATCTCTTCTTAAGGATCGCAACTGCTTCTTCATAATTTGATGCAGTGAGAGACAGGCCAGAAATGGCATCAAGACCTGGTTTCATAAGGAGTGAGTTTAAATAATTGAACTTGTCAATAGGAGCCAATGTAGGATTCCTATGAATAGAGGACTCGAAGGCATCCCAGAAGGTGGGCCATGTACTAACTTCTCCAACAAATTTTCTCAAGTCCAGTTTAGGTAATTTAACTCCAGGGACTCTTTCTTGAGTAGGTAAGCTTAAAATTGGTGTTGGATTAGGAGATTCAACAAGATTATTCGAGGGTTCAACATTTCCAGCAGATACAGAAAGGCTTACCGGAGATTCAACAGAGTCATTTGACGGTAAGAAGTCACTAGTAACAACTCTAGAAGGGCTTACTGGTGTCTTGTCCTTTGGTGCGTCCACGGTCTTCGCGGGGGACTTCAAATTTTCAAGAAAATTATCGATTCTAGTGATGGTGAGCTAAATTAATTCATTTACGAGATCTGCTTCCCGAATTTCGTCTTCGATTTCCTCTTCTTCCACGATTGACAAGATTTCTTCGTCCACAACTTTTAGGGTTTCCAATTTGACGTGCAGGGTTTGACTTTGCTGGTGAAGCTTTGACACGAGTAGGGCAAGCGCTTGTTTGTTCTCGTCCAGGCTAACGTCGCTCCACGAGGCATCCAGTTGTTCACTGACGGCGTAAGCAATACGTTTGACGGTTGTTCTGTGTCCTTCACGCGCAGCTTTTTTCCTTGAAATGGCTTTCACTTTGGGTGGCATCACATGCACTTTTAAAATAGTCAACTCGTTGACGAATGAAAAATCACATCACGTGCTTGTAAACAAGAATTGTCCGGTCCAAGGGTTAACACAACAAGAACTATCACCAACAGAATAATCCGGTTCGGAGTGACCATGTAAGAGAAGGTAATGCTTTAGAGGGCGTTAATCGCTGATTTCGAAGAATTCAAAGGATCTTAAGGTTCCACATCGATAAATATCAACCACACAGAGAGAGATTTATTTCAGAACAGAAAAAAGCGAAAACGCTAAAGTCACCTGATTGCAAACGTCAAGTTTCATGTGACCCGATGTCATGCTGTAACGCTATACAAGTCCGTAACACTGGTATTCTATCAGCCATTATTAAAAACTCAATCATTTGATAATGCAATTCTAGCGTTTTGATTGGCTTAGCCATTATGGTATATGAGCCATTATTTTCGAAGATATCAATCAGACTGATCTGTATATGGTCTTGTGTTTATTCCAGTCAGCCAAGGCTTAGAATATCTGATTAGTGATGTACATAATGACGACTAATTACACGTACATAATTTACTGTTAATGTACTGATTTCATTACAATTATACTATGCTCTCCATATATGGTCGGTGTACGCGTCAGTTTAAAACTGGAAGCTAACTGAGATTTTCTTTCGCGGAGGATAGAATGGCGCCCGAAGCAAATCGTTTTAATTGATTTCTTAGAATGCTAGAAAATGCAATTTTATCGGGGAAAAAACAAACAAACAAAAAAGCCACAAGCCTGTTTGAAAATTTATCGAAAAACAGATGATGGAACTGAAGTACCTTGACCAGCTACGAAAGAAGACAAGCGTTGTTTCTTCATGATTGCGAAGCCACTTGCCGATAGATAACTGCGGCTTGTTTATCCAACATGAAGAATATAAATCACAAGCAACCAGCTACAAATACAGGCTATGCAGCCATTCACCACAGCAATCGAGGCGTCAGTATAGCTTCTTTTCTCGTTCAGCAAAACTAGCTGGTGGCTTCAAACAACTTCATAACAAGCGACCGAGGTAATAGTTTTTCTCCGTTGTTCTTACTTTTGTAACTGCACCGAAAATCCAAACTCACAGTAATTTCGACGGCTGTCACTTAAAAATTCTTTTTCTTTTCTTCTCTCTTTTCTACGCGCCTCGTTGGCTATCTACCATCTCATATCCAACGCGCCCTCATGGACTAATTGTTAATTATATATTAGGTAGATAAATCTTTTTAACTCTTTAATGGAATCCAAGAATTAAAGTCGTCGCTATATCCCTTCCAAGATACTACACCTTGTTTTTTCTTGCAATCTCTCCGAATGACTTTATCAATCCTGAATATATCCTGTTTTGCCCTTAGTAATTCAGGTTCGTAAAAGCTCCTTTGTATCTCCTCGTTGTTGAGATCCTTTAACCTATAGGTGATTGGATTTGTGGAATGGATTTTATCAACCAGGAATATCTGTTCAGTCCAATTAGGTGTGTACCTATCCTGACTTTATCACCAGCCTTGAACTGGGGTTTAGATGACAATTGCTCAATTGTATCGCTAGGTAGACTGAAATACACGGTACTTTCATTCTTCTTTTTACTGGCTTCTATGGGTGTCACTTTAATGGAACTATGCTCAGTGTTATTATACTACTTAAGAGCGGCCGTATGTAAATATCGCCTGAAGGTGTGCAAAATGAAAAAGATCGAAAATCCCCAAACGTTGTCAGAATATAGGTCTAGGTAAACTATTTCTTGAAAAATAACTTTAATAATAATAATAATAATAATAATAATAATAACATTTATTTATACCGCGCAAATTCAACTATACAGTTTTCAAATGCGGCTTACAATTAAAAATTACACGAATGAATAATTGTCTAGTCTATAAATTATAACATTATATCAGAAAAGGCTTTTTTAAAAAGGTAAGTCTTCAAATTACGTCTAAAAACTTCAAAATCGGAGGTGCATCTAAGATATAACGGAAGATTATTCCACAGTTTTGGTGCGGCGGGCTACAAAGGCCCGGTCACCAAGATTAGGGAGAGTCCTGAAGTTTGGATTTGAAAGCAGATATTTGTTATTTGATCTGAGGCTGCAGGAAGAATTAGGTTCAAAGTTAACGAGAGATGATAAATAATTAGGAGCTGTTCCATGGATTGCTTTGTGACTGATTATAATAATCTTAAATTCTATTCTAAATGTTACAGGCAGCAAGTGTAATTCGTACAATATTGGTGTGATATGGCAATACCGTGGTGCCGTGCCGTGCGTTTTGAACACGCTGCAGTTTAGTGAGGGCGCAGTGGGGTAGTCCATATAAAAGTGAGTTACAATAGTGCAATCTGCTTGTGATGAAAGCGTGGACTAATTTCTCGGCAGATTCTATGCTAAGATATTTTCTGACGTGTCTAATATTGTGTAGATGAAAAAAAGCACTCCTACAAGTTTTGGTTATGTTAAAGTTCAGGTTGAAATGGCAGTCAAACCTAAGTTTCTAAGGGGTTCCGTGCTGGGAGAGATGATGGATTCGCCAATAGTTAGAGTAGCGCTTTTAGTTTTCTGTAGCTGCGCCTTCATCCCAATGAGCATAAACTCAGTCTTGGAATCATTGATCATGAGTTTGTCATTGATCATCCAGCTTCGGATGTCACAGAGGTACGCTTCCATTGCTGCAATGGTGGCGTCTTGATCGGCATCATCGTTTGGATTGAATGCCAAATAGATACTGGTATCATCGGCGTAACTGTGCGCTGTTGGCAAGTGCTGGCTAGTGACATCAAAAAGCTCACTAGTGTAAAGGGAGAACAGCATTAGGCCGAGAAAGGAGCCCTGTGGCACACCAAACTTCAGATCAAAACTGTCTGACTTTGCACTGCCGATTGCAATACACTGGGATCTATTCGACAGATAGGATTTGAGCCACGTTACTGCTTGATCTTTAATTCCAAATTTGTATTCCAGGCGCCCCAGTAATATATCATCGTCTACTGTATCAAAGGCAGTGCTTAGATCTAGGAACACTAGTAATGTGACTTGTTGTTTGTTCATGCTGACGAGTATGTCGTTGCGCATGTGCAGTAAGGCAGTCTCCGTACTGTGATATTTGCGGTAGGCTGATTGAAATTCTGGAAACATCTGATTGAATGACACATGATCAGAGATTTGTAGTGCAGCTGCCTTTTCAGTGATCTTTGAAAGGAATGCGAGATTCCTGACGGGCCGGTAGTTTTTCTTTATCAAATCCATGTTGACTTTCTTTAACTTTGGTCTCACTAAACCCTCTTTCTAAATGTCAGGAAAATGACCACTACTGAGCGAAAGATTAACCATGTTGGAAATGGTCGGTAAGAGTTCATTAATGCAGTCTTTAACACTCGTGGTAGGTATAGGGTCATTGTTGCAAGTCTGTTTGGGGCATTCAGCACCAGTTTTTTGATACCTTCAGACGATATATATAGGCTCGAAGTTAGTGAAGGGTGTGCCAGTATACGAGTGGCTTGGACGCTACTCCTGGTCGAGTAGTCAGGCTCATTTGATGAGGGGTCAATCCTGTCCAGCTTTTAGCGAATGTCATCGATCTTTTGTGTAAAGAATCTCCCAAAATTATTAGCAGGCATAGCAGGGTATTGTTTGGGGTATTGTTCCTGTGACGACCCTCCTAGTAGTGCACTGGCCATTTTGAAAAGCTTTCTCTGATCACACTTGTTTTAATTAATAAGATTGAAATAATAGTCACACCTTGCTTGCTCCATCATCGTTTTTTATATGATTACATGCCTAGACGAATTTTACCCTGTCTGACTTGAGCCCTGTCCCTGGCCATATTCTTTCGTTCCGTCTACGAAAACGCTGGCTTCCTTGAATTCGCTATTGAACCAAGGAACCCGCGAACGAACCGTGATAGTCTTCTTCTGAAGTGGAGCATGTTTATCTAACAGGCTGGTCATGGTTGAACCGTAACAGGAAACAAGGTCTGTAAGTGCATCGGGTTGGTCCTGGCATAGTCTCGATTTCCTGAGATCATCCTTGAACGATTCAATGTCAATAGCCTTAGTCTTCCGGTAGCAGACCTCCTTAAGAGTTGTAGCCAGCATACGGAGAGTTAGTTCAAATAAAACAGTGCAATGATCTGACAGAAAACTGTCAGAGATGGGCGAGGTCTGAACAAAGCTATCCAGGTCCCGTGTAATAATCAAGTCTAAAGTGTGTCCAGAACGGTGAGTTGGTGTAGTCACATGCTGTGTTAGCCCCATGCAGTTCAGGAGATCTAAAAACTTTATAGCGTNTGTTTATCTAACAGGCTGGTCATGGTTGAACCGTAACAGGAAACAAGGTCTGTAAGTGCATCGGGTTGGTCCTGGCATAGTCTCGATTTCCTGAGATCATCCTTGAACGATTCAATGTCAATAGCCTTAGTCTTCCGGTAGCAGACCTCCTTAAGAGTTGTAGCCAGCATACGGAGAGTTAGTTCAAATAAAACAGTGCAATGATCTGACAGAAAACTGTCAGAGATGGGCGAGGTCTGAACAAAGCTATCCAGGTCCCGTGTAATAATCAAGTCTAAAGTGTGTCCAGAACGGTGAGTTGGTGTAGTCACATGCTGTGTTAGCCCCATGCAGTTCAGGAGATCTAAAAACTTTATAGCGTCGGCATCATCTGGGACGTTCACGTGAATATTCATGTCTCCTACAATGAGGAAACGTTCAGATGACAGCACAATTGATTCTAGGTATTCAGCGAATTCGCTAAGAAAGGTGGCTACCGTTACTGGGTGTTTTTCAGAGTACGGTGTCCGATAGATAATGGCTACCTTTACTTTGTTGTTTCCTACGATGACAATAATTCAGCAAACTCAAACAAGGTCTTTTCCCCAGTAGTGTGAAGGGTCACGGTCAGTTCTGTACGAGACAACAGAACGCTACCACCCCCACCTCGGTGACAGCGTATTTGATCATGAAGCATGTAACCAATAGGAGTGCATTCAGCTCTAACCGCCTCATCGTCAGAGGATAGCCAAGTCTTAGTTAATGCACATACATCAATCTTGTTACTGCACAGATATTCTTGGAAAACTGCAGTCTTTTTGCGTACGGACAGGCAATTCCGTAAGCAGAAAGTCCGTGGTCGTAACGGAGTAGGGTTGTTGTGACAACAAGTAACCTTTTTTAGATTTAATGTTCCGACGAACACAAGTCGAGGCGACTGTGTTTTTGTTTACATCATTGTTTCGCGAGGACACTATTGCCGGTATTCTAATTATCCCTATGGGATCCGGTTTAAGTTAAAATACTAAATCACCGGCCAGTAGAGGATTAAATGTCGCGCCTGATCCAGAGTAATAAATGCACGGGCGTTTATGTTGTTTGATACTCAGGCAGCTGCAGAATTTAGGATGACGTAACAGGAAATAGTATCCGCGAGAGATTTCATAATAGAAAATTCATTCCATTATTGTAATTCCATGAATCCAGTAACAATGGCGGTATCATCAGAAGAACGCAGGCTTTGTTCCCTTATCTTGTGGCGGAATGAAATTTACTCGAGGCCAGAAACGATGAAGCATCCAAATCTCGAATTAACTATTGCAGCTGTCACAGCAACCCCTTTCTCTTTTTTCGGGTGCTGTTATAAGTGGAGGACATTTTAGTGTGGCAATTAACACTTTTAATCAATCGCCCACACTTTCAGTGCGAGAGGAAAACCCTAGCAAAACTTATAAAAGAATCAAACCTCTTGATTCGGATTCTGACTAGTGTTTGTCAATCTCGGGTTTTCACTTCTGTATTTCAAATTTTGAACTTTTGTAGAACTATTTCGACATATTTTCAGGATGTCTTATTTTATTCTAACTAGTTCTGCCTTTTCACCGCATTTTTGCTTGATAATTTAGATGTAAAGTATTTTACAAGGAAGCCATTTCAGTTTTATACAACTCGTGAATAAAAAACGTACGCACTCACCAACCGTGAGATAACATATGATTATAAGCAGTTTCAAGCCGTTTCCAAGTGATTTTAAGGGGGGTCTTCGTTTTCTAGACACCACGCAAATTGCGCACACGCGTTTCGCACGCAAATTTTTGGACGCTTATCACTGAGCTGCACTGTAGTAAGATGAAACTGCGCTACGGATAAATATACCGCAGGTCAGTTTTTGCAGTCTGGATGTTGATTACCTCAGGCCAAACTATACATCTTACCTTCCTGTCTGCCTCAAATATTCCTATTGTCATATTTTCATCGTCATCATCTTTTAGCTTTTTTTTCCTTTGCAGGAATTCTTCTAACTGAACTTCATCTTCAGACAGAGCACTGTGTTCCAACTCCAGCTGATCTTGAAATTTTTGATAAGCTACTTCTAGATGAGACTTCATCTTTGTAACAACTGGTGAACGCTGTACACAAACAGCAGTAAAAATTCTAGGATTCTTGTCTTGTACTTGCATTGTACTTTGGTTCCTTATAGAGAACGCTTTTGCAGAACGTAAGCATCCTGTATGGCCAAAAACAAACAAAACAAAAAAGAAATGATTCTGTCAAGCTTACTAATGTTTAAAACAAATAATGAATCCAACCATTTTTAGGTACTCAAAACAAGTCCCTGCTAATTTAGAAAAATGGTGTCTCAGATTATAATGAGATTTTTCATGGATTAGTCCTGGATAATGATTTATTAAGGACACCCATTTCTTGTTTTAATCATTCAAATCAGTTTGCTTATAAGGCGGATTAATATGGAACTCTGAATGCCTAATTATCACATTATAATAGGCACTTTTGGATGACATGGCTTGATGGCTAGGCTAACGTTTTTAGCATTCTGTATTTTGACTTCTTAAAAGCCTTTGACTCAGTTTCCCATAAAGGAGTTACTGATAAATTTAAGAAAAGGCCTGATATTAACCTATACATTGTTAACAAGGTTACTATTTTTTTGAAAGATCATCAGCAAAGGGCTTTTGTGGACAATGTCATTCAAGACCACACAAAAGTACATGTAAGTTGACAGTCTTGACTCAATCCTCAAAAATCAATTCTTACATCTCAAAACGCCAACAGACCAAAATTTGAGAAATAAGAATTGAGTCTACTCTGAGTTTAATGTGTTTCAAGTTTTGAGAAACAAAGAATTTTTTTTTCGAACCTACAGAAATTCACACCACCTGTCAGCACTTACATGCACATGCACCGCTTCTTACCCTGTAACAAATAAAAGATTTTTAAGGTGGAAAAAAGGAACAGTGACAGGTTGGTGATCTTGAATTATCGGAAAATTGAGTCGCCCTACTTTTGTTGATGAAAGAAAATAAATAAATAAACATGTTTTAGTTCTGGTGCATATCGTGTGACGTTAGGTATGCGTTGGATTCCATTTTCGCAATGATTTTAGAAGAGATGACCTTGAAGTTAATGATAGCCACAAATAATTTTTCAAAACCGTAATGTTTTGAAGGCTGCCATAACACAAAACACATAACAAAAACAGAAAGAAACAGATAAAGCTAACCAGCATATCAAGCATTTTTGCGCAAGTTCATCGAGAAAGTTGGGATGAGAGCAAAATAGGGGAATTAAGGGAGAGGGAAAGGGAGAAAAGGAAACCTTTACCCCAAACCCTATGATTTTGAAAAAGTGTGTTTGTCCATGAACACAGTTTCTTATTGGCACGGTATGGTAATGTTGATCAAATATTTATCAATACATTAATCAAACCAGGTATGTTATCTACATGTATGGGCATCCCAGATAAATGCTTTGGGTTGATATTCATTTCAATCATGCTTGAACAACATTAAGATCTGTGCAGAAAGGAGACCTCACAGGCATCCTTGGAATTTCACCCCTTTAAACTATTAATGGAGATAGAGCAGCCAAGACTACACTGTATTTTATTGGGAATGACAGCTTGAAGATGACTGAAAAATTGGACTGTTTGTTGGGTATAAATAAATTTAAATATAACATCAGTACTCAACAGCTGGCTAGAGCTGCCATGGACAAGCAACTTGTAAACTCTTGAAATCAAAAGATTGTTTGCATATTGCAAATTCAGCTTGTACTGATTGAACTGTTGAGAACCTTTAGACACGAGCTGGAGACATGTTTTCAGCGCAAGCTCCACAGACCAATAATTCAAACATGGCTGTGAGTTTCCAACAACTTCTGCTTCAGCCACTCTGCAAACCTCATAGTGGGATTGAATTCTTCAGGATAGATCATTTCTTTGCGGCATTTCGACTACTCTGACACTTGCCACCAGAACAACCATGAATGACTGTGACCAGGAAGCTTTTATTCATTTTGCAATAAGCCAGAGCCCTTGACAGATGATAACAATATGTCACAGCTCTTCTTTTTAGTTTATGTCAGTTACCAAATGAGTCACAGAGGTCACAGAGGTCAAGCATGGTCAAGTACAGAACATAACAATGGACTCAGTTGCGTTATATAACAATGGAAAAAGACCTATTTTGAACCATCTTGACAGACAATTTACATGTACTTGTATAGGGCTTTCCAATTTTCAAGACATTACATCTGTTTTCTTAATAGAAACCTCGATTCATGGAGTAAACTGTTGGAGGATCACGCATCACAGTGAATATATAATTCCCAAATCACGATTGTACTTCAAGAGTTTTTCCGATTCACACTGGTTTACTTGTCAATTCAAAGATCACCCGAAACCTCTTCCAGTCCCTGTTTCAAAAATGACAAAGTTTCGGCTTTCCTGTCGTGGGTGAAGGTGCAAAATTCAAGTTTGTCGATAGGTACACTGTAGGTTATTTTACGGGGGGTGACAACTCTAACAAAAGCCGTTTGGGCAGTCCTATGAATAACTTTATGTCCTCCCGGAAATTTGGACGACCCTCCCGAATTTTTCGGTGGCATTGTCCATGTTAACTCTTTAACTTCCGAAAATTGTTTTAACAAATTTTAATTAGAGATTTTTCGCAGCTTTTTGTTTATTATGTAACTTGTGAATTATCTTACCTTAGTTTTTTTTCCTTTAGAGGAGTTGAGCACTGAAAGACTGTCCAACTTAAGTATATAAAATGGTGGGGTTTTTTTTAATGACCGACGAATCAGGTTAGCGCTGAAGGGGGCAGCCACTAGGGGGGTCTGGGGGCATGCTCCCCCAGAAAATTTTGAAATCTTGACGCTCTGAAATGCCATTTCTAGTGTTCTGAGAGGACAAATTCTGTCCAAATGTTGTCTAACTCAATTTTCATTTGTATGCTTATTTTTATTGGCGTGACTTCGCGTACAAGAAGTCGATGTTATTTTATATTTCGTGTTCTGGATATCACTTTCAGCTAAGTATACTGATAGTATGTGTCTCGCACCGGCACGATTCTTGTGTCAATCCACTGGGGATTGCACGTGGTCAATCGCACTCCAGCTTCATGCTATTTTAGTTGGAAACATTGCTGATTGGTCCTTTCATATCATGGGGAGTTAAGAATGTTTTCAAGTGTCAAAATACATAAAATACAGTGTATACACAGGGTGCATAGTGTGCATATATATTGTTTGATAACATGTAATATCAAATCTTTGCTTAATGTCCCGAAAATATCTTATATTTCCCGAAAAATTTCCCAGGTTTCCCGATTCCCGGCAAAATCTCCAGATTCCCGGAATAAATTTGTTTTTCTCCCGAAACAGCCCTCATTAGAGCTGTCACCCCCCGTTTATTTTGTCTTTCTTGAAGTTTGGACTTTTGCAGCACCGTAAATTACATGGTATGTTTACTTAGCTTGTGAATAAATAATAAAAAGGTGACGGGAAGACGTTCCTTTTGACAGAACAAGTTTCCAAATAAACCTATTTTTGCTTTTGGAAGCACATTGCTACAGACTTTGAAATTGTTTTATCGACTCTTGAAAAATATCACCAAATTTTGCATAATAGTGTAGAAAATCCCAGAATGTAGAAAAGCTCAGACTCTTAGGTGTTACAATAGATTCCAAATTTAACTTTACTGATCACATTAGCACTATTTGTAAGACAGCTAGTCAAAGATTCGGCGTGCTCATGCGACTTAGGAACTTAATTCCAACTAAGGCCAAGCTAATGCTACATTTGTATTCAAATCAG